AAATGCAGTTGGATCATTTCTGTTATGCAGTATCTTTTGAGCTCTTTAACATTCAAAAAAAATGAATATACTTGTGTTGTAATGAGTGTATTTCTGTAAATATGGGTACCAGTCTTTTTCAGAAACATGCTCAAGCACTTAAAACATAAATGATAAATGATAACTTGATTGTTTACACAGTGAAATTAATTGATTAATTAATTAATTAAGTTAATTTTATTTTTAAACTAAATTTACCAATTTTGATTTTATATAAGATTTTCATTTATTATTTTAAAGTGAGACGAACTGATACCATAAAACATCACCAGAATATCAAACTCTATGGCTAATACTTTCCCACCAAAATATGTGGGAAAATTCTTCCTGGAGGATGAATTCATTCAGAAAATGACTTCTGTTAATTAAAAGGATATTACAAAATAATAATTGAATGGAAAGTGATATTGAGAACATAAAAAAAACTATAAATTGATGATATATATGATATCCTATAAATACCCCCCCCCCCCCCAATTTTTTTTCTTTTAAATATTTAAAATAAATAAATATAATTATTTTTAATAAATGAACAGTTTTTTTTTTCATTTCAGATAGTACAGTATAAGGCAAATTATTAAAAATTTTACACTAATTTAAATTTATGTACACTAAATTGTGATATTTGTAATAAAAAGACAATTATACGATCCCCGTTGCGTGTTCAGCTTACATCGCTTTGTTTAGGCCTGTGTACACTAGCTAAATATTTCATGGCACACAAACTAAGCAGTATTACACAACACAATGCATCCTCGTTACAACTTCATTCTCTTCTCTTGAGGAAAGTATCGTGCCATAATTATGCCTCAGGTAGGGGTGATTAATATTTCAATGGATTCAATGTTTTATTCATAGTCTTGCTGGCTCTTTGGCGAATGAAACCGGAGACTGAACCAGGGTCGCGTCTGCAGTGGCTCAATCTTTACAGCGAGACGCAAGTGCACATCTGTTTGTTCAAATGCACCAACCTCATTCAAATTGCCTTAATGCATGTAAATGTGCTTGACTGACCGAATAATTTTGCATGGAGGTTATTTGAGCTGTGCTGCAAAGGTGTGTTGCCATTAAAGCCAGTCTGACTGGTTTTGTCTCTGCTTTTTAAATCCCTTTACCAACAGGGTGGCATCTTCTTTCCACATTAAGAGAGAAGTGTAGATGTCAAACAGACTGCCTGCTTCCCCTCCGAGTCTTCAGAATAAACTACTGAACATCTGAGACTGTGCTGGAGAGGAAATCGGAGATCGAGGGGTTAGGTACACAGCGACAACTTTAATAGCCAATTTCACTGGGGTTGCTATTCAACTTTCCTAATTAATGTTAGATGAGTGTTAATAAAGGAATTTAGTGAAGAGAATTGGCTACTGGTATTTAATTAGATGCCAATCAGAGTTCTTTGGTTGCTGTTTGACCTAGGTAAATACGAGGTCTCTGGAAGAAACGATCTAGAAGGTTTGTGCCTTTTATTTATAAAATCAGACTCCAAAAGCAAATGCTATAAATAGATTTACAGTCTACAGTGATGCAGTGCTTGATGTCATTTTGTAGGCCAACCCTAAAGTTAGCATCACCATGGTTCCCCAGACAAAAATCCAATAGGATTTTTTTCCATCGTCTTTTGGATTATTGCAGAAAATAAGATCTGACTGTAACCAACAAAAGTTTATAATTCAGGTTTTGTTTATCACAATAATCTTCACAAATGAACACAACTTGTATGAATTCTGAAACTTAAATACAATTGTCAGAAGTAAAAAGCTAAACACAGGCTATAAACGAACTATACCACAGTTATAAATACAATGAAACTGTGAAAGCGGACTACTCAGCGGATGAGTTACCTGTTTATCATGATGACTTTTACTGTCCTCGACAACCTCTGTTAGTTCCATGTTAGTGATTGCCGTTTTCAAGACAAGTAAAAGTATTATGTATTATATGTTGTAGAATAAAATGTGAAAATATCTTAAGCCAGACCTTATTTCAGGCATTTAACCGAAAACTAATTTGAAAAACATTGACTTCAGATAAATGAACCGGAAGTGCTAAAATGCTAATTTGTTCTGGTTTTGGCCTACAAAAATATGTTATCCCAGCACTCTATTTCTCCATCATTTTCAATTTGATTATGTCATTTGCAATGTTTCTCAAGTACACAGTCTTGTACTTCTGTCTTTTTGTCTGCAATGTTGTGATTCACCTCTGGCTGGTTTGGTGGCTGATACCTCTTAAACTAAGATTTTTAATTTATTTATATACTTTTTTTTTTATCCCTAAAGGGAAAAATGAATGGGAAACATACTTCCCGAGTCAGAACATATTTGAAGTAGCCTATAGGCTGCATTCAAAATCACATACTCTCTTACTTTTTTAAAATAAATAATTCACAACCGCAAAAAGAGTACGTTCTATAGAATGTAATGAATGAATGTAATCTGGACGTACTATATTCGCCATGTTGTCATTATCATGTGACCTACCAGTGTCAGTTGCGTCGTGTCACTGCTATTCATAAATCCTCTCCCGTGGCCTCTTGAGATGGTAATGTGTCCATCGTATGCACACTTCAGAATCAAGCTGGAAGTAGTAGGTCATCTGGGTACTTTTTGCCTTTTTTTGACATACTTTTTTGTCACATACTGTTTTTCACCTACTATATAGTAGGGAAAGTATGCAATTTCAGATGCAGCCATATACTGTTGTGCAGCTGGATTTTGAACCAATTAGATTTTAGTGTGGGCGGGGCTACCCAGTGTAGCTCAACAGACATAAAGCATTTGCAAATTTCCTGTGATAGCTGGTTAGGGCAAAAACGTGTTGCTTTGTTGTGATGTGAATGGTCAGATAGTTGTCAAGTATTTAAATTACTTTTGTTATTTACTGGCAATCACCTCTATTACTATATTCTCTGGATAATTCAGACTGATTGGTAAAATATTTTAGTATAATGACTGATTTCCTTGTCTACTCCATTGTCTCTTTCTTTGAACGTAATACAATAATTTCAGGTGACATATCATGAAATATCATAAAGGTGACATATCATGAAAATCTGACTTTTCCAGGTTTTAAGTGCTATAATCAGGTCCCCGGTGCATCTACCAGCAAGGAAACGTGAAAAAGATTAAACCAGTAACTTTGTTTTGGTAAGCCTTTTTCTGCAAGCGTCTGAGAAAACGAGCGTGTCTGATTTCGCTCCCTTGGTGACGTGGCAAAGGGATCTCATTATAATATTACCACCCCTTAATCTGTAAGTTTCCACCCACGACACCGTCATTTTGATTTTGCGAGCGACAACAGTGTACCAGTTCTAATGCCATGGCGAAGGTTTGAGCAAAACATGCTAACTGTCTGTCTTTGGCAGCACAGACGAGCACAGAACACTATTTACAGTCCCAGCCTCAGAGGACACAAGACAGCAGTGGATTTTGATTTATTTACTGTATATTGCTGCTGCCACACAGATCTAAAATAAACATGC